AATGTTTCACACTGGATCTTTAACTATTTTTAATGTTTAAATCAAAAGCTGTACAGAAACAAGTGAACATGTGAAGATTCACATAAGGAAAAAACAACTCTTACCCAGATGCAATCTGACTCAGAATCTGAACCCATGGCTCTGCCACCGTCGCTTCCTAAAGCTCCAAGAAGCCCTGAGAAACACACGTCTACACGTCTAAATTCTCTTTCTCCGTCTTATTGCTCTTTATTTATCTGACTTATTTATCACTCCTTGAATGGCACAGTCCAACTAAACCAATCAGGAAATCTTAGTAAATACATGCACATGCACATGCAAAGCTCCAGTCTCCAGTGATTTCTTTATTCAAATTTGGGTTGGCTCAGTTTACACGACTGTTTGGCTACAGACTGACTGAACACAGGTTTAATCACAGCGATAAGTGGGCCATCAACTGGGTGTTTGGCTAAAACTAGACAGATCAGCTTGATCAACTCAACGTTTCACTGATGTAAATACACAGCAGCTCTGAGCATGCGTGTCCCTGTGTGTGTGTGTGTGCGTGTGTGAAATTGGGCTAAGACCATTTGGACTGTGGAAAGCTGATAGACTGTATCTTGGATTATTTTAACTAGTATTCAGCAGTCTGTTCAAATGATCAACATTAAAGGAACACTGCACAGATTTTTCACACATCATGTTTCTTGTATTGTTCATAGGTGTACTCCTCTGTCTGTGACAACAGTTGTATAATGTCTTCTGTGGCTGTGGGGGACCTTTGTCAACTCTGTAAAAATAACCCTGATAATGTCACTATCATCATCTATCATCTGTGTTATAAACTGGGGGCATGGAGTTTGAAAGATGTGGGCATTTACCAGGCTGGAAGGGTCACACCAAATGATATTTGTTGCTTTATGGTAAATGTGGGATCCAGTCATTTTGGAGTCTGAGAAGTAAGCTGTGTTTTATTTGATCCTTTTGGGAAATAAGGTCTGAACTTTAAACTTCAGTTTAAATGTAGAATAATGCTATTGACACTGAACATTGGAAACAGGTTAAAGGACCATAACAACATGTTTCAAGCATGCATATTTAACTATTTTGAAAAGCATGCTATAGATTTTGCTAAGGATTCCCCCAGAGTTTGAAGCAGCCATTGATCTACATTAATGTCCATATGGCATTAAAATTAATTGTCAGACTTTCAAAACCTGTTTACATTGTCTGTTCCAAGCTCCAAACAGCTCTCAGTTTGTAATGCAGCCTTTATGTTATAAATTTTAAGTGTCGTAGCCAACCTTCGATGTCATCAGACAACCCTGACGACATCACCATGGGTTATTTTTTCAGACTTTTGACAAGGCCCCTCTTATGCCACATAATATATTATACAAGTGGCTGAGAAGGTCATTATTGTGCAAAATTGGTGGAGTTTCCTTTTCTACTGTATTAATCCCTTATTGGGGAACTTGTTTTTTCACTCTTTTTTTATTTTATATATACACACACACACACAGGCTGAAATACACACTTCACACTTGTGGACATGCAACAGGGAGAGAGATGGTGGAGTGATGGGCTGCCACGTTAGCAGAGCCCCATGAGCAGTTTCTTGGGGTTAGGTTGCCTTGCTCAAGGGCACCTCGGCAGTGCACAGGAGGTGAAACTGGCACCTCTCCAGCTACCAGTCCACACTCCATATTATGTGGCCTGTGGGACTTGAACCAGCGACCCTCCGGTTCCTAAGCCAAGTCCCTACACACTGAGCTACAGGGTAAATGTGAGACTTTCACCTCATACATGTCTGCATGGTCTGCATCTTCACAGCTAGAAACGAGGAAGTCAGTTTGGTTACGTATGGTTCAAAGTTTTGCGCAGGGAATTACAATGATTGGTTAAATTCAGAGAAAGGTTTTTTTGGACAAAATGGCAGGACACAGAATTTAGAGGGATTGGTTGAATTTGCGTTAATTGTTGTGATTGCAACATCACAACTTCCTGGTGGCTTCAAGTTTCTACATCACACTGTACAGGTTGCATACTGGACTAGGCTGACTTCCAAACCATTTGTGATGTCACAAATCCTGCTGATAGGCCCCGCCCCTTAAAATTAGATGTTCAAGAAAAACTTTTCACTTTCAGTAGATGAATGTGAAAACATCCTTCTAGTGTCAAAC